CCACAGTGAGCCAGAGTTTATCTAGGACATGATTTATTAACTGGCTCCCTTAGGCCCTCTCCCTAACAAGGGGCCAGGGTCTCTGGGTAGCATTGTCAACTCAGACCATATGTCTAATTGTCCTCAAAATGTCTAGATCTACCACTTTCCCCACTCGACAATCATTCAAGCAAATGGCCCCAGAATCCTTTCAGAAAGATCAAAATAAATCATCATGGTGAATACTTACCATGGTCAAATGGTTCTAGAACTGAAAATTGACTCAGATCTGGAAACTTTGAAAAAGACTGGGACTTTTTCTCAGGTGAACACATTTAGCCTCCTTCTTCTGCATTTCTGCCATGTTGTTCTTGTTGATGGTGATGGTCTTAGGTATAACATCCTTGCTGGTTGCTCATGTATTTTGCCCTAGAAATGCCAAGTTATTTACCAGCTCCCCCTGTGGCTGCCCCTCGGACCTTGCCATGGTCACTGTGGCTTGCTGGCTTCCAGGGATTAAGCAGTGTACGCTGAACTTCAGGGTTGCATCAAGACCATGGAGATTAGTAAGCCCATCTCTGTGGCCATCTCTCTTGCCATCATTCTCAGCCTGCATAGGAACAACTACCCAACTTCTTAGTGATGTTGGCCTCATCTTGCCAGCATTTTGTTGATGACTTTGGTGAAAGGTGTGACCTTTTTATCCTCCCAAGGAACAAGTCATTTCGTATGTTGTCTGCCCTTACGTAAATTAGACCTATACACATTCCAGCAAACCCACCTCCTTCAGCCTCTTTATTCCTTCCCCAACCGACTACCAGGACAGCTCAGACATTTGACTTTTCTCAACATTGATAATTATTTTCTGTAGGATTCTATGAGCTATACTAGTTATCCTAGCCATGAATTTGTTCCTGCGGTTCCAACCAGTCTTGCCTGTGCCCCAAGAAAGTCAATGAATTTCTACTCAGCTAGTCTTATATTCTGACCCCTTGATTAAATATCTTCAAAGCTCAACCCCAGGAATATTTCTCTGGCTGCTGATCGTAACTTCTAGCTAATTCTTGCCACTTTTTTGGGATATAATGTTTTTGCTCTCTCATTAGGCTCAGCATGTCCCAAGCCAGATTATGATTAGACTTAGCCTTAGTTATCAGTCTGACAGTCAAAAGTGTGGAGGCAGCTTTTGGGAGGGGGAGGCTGGTTGCCTTGTGAAGGAAGGGCCTCAGCAGGCACTGTCAGCACAGAGAATGGATCACCTCTGTGAGTTCTGAGAGTTCAGGAGGGATATCTGCAGAGCCAACATTTTCAAGAGCACCCATTGAGATGGTCTCATCCCACATTTCAGGGTCTCAGGTTTTCCCATCAAGGATCTGACCTTAGCAAGAAAAGACCTACCTCGATTGAGCATTCAAACACCTCTGGAGCACTGCATGTCTGAGTCTTTCAGAGCTTCAGTCTGATGCTCAGCTGTGTCCACTCCTCCCACACAGGAGATAAAGAACTCTTTTGTAAAGTATCAAGGAAGCATTCTAGCACTCACACTTAATGTTTAACTCCCTGTTAATGGCCTTCAATTTCTCATCCCCTTGCAAGGCATCAATGCAACTCAGCAGCTAACACTTCTGTCTTTGTAGGCATTATCCCCTATGTCTTTCAACTCCCTGAGCCATCACACATGCAAGGGAATTCGTCTCCCACAGGTGGTCTTCTCAGATCACTTTAGTGAAACTTTTAGCAACTGGGCCACCTTCTTGTGCCAGGGACTAGCCATGCCCTACAATCCACTCAGAATGATATCCCATTTGCTCGTCAGGCAGGGAGACAGTCCCAGAACCCCATCTTACTGCCTGTTTCTTGAGATCACTCCTGGTGCCACTTATGTCAGTTCAGATTTGCCAACAAGCAGATATCAAGACAGGATTAAATGTCCAAGAGATTTATTGGGAAAAATGACTATGAGGAAAATAGGGGTGGTAGGGGCAAGCAGAAAAGGCAGGGAAGGTTATCAGACTGAAGGGCAGGTCTGATCTGCCCTGTGAAGGAGAGAGGGAAAGAAGGGAATTTAAGAGGGAAGTCTCAGATCAGACTGCAGTGCAGCTCTGAAAAGCTTCAACCAGGCCAACAGGGAGTCTCAAGCCAAAGTAACCCATCATTATCACTGTCTGAGGTCAGTCATTGGCTGGAGCAGTCCGTGGAAAGTGAGGCTCTGTATGAAGTTGGTGGTGGATTCAGAGAGAAGGCTTTAGTCATTGAGTTTCTCTGCAGCAGCAACTCTGAATAGTACATCATGGATGGTCACCAAACCTATCTGCTACAGAGATTTAATAGAAAATACAGAAAAGTTCCAGGATCAAGCAGAAAACCAGGGGACAACCAGAACTAAAACCAGGCAAAGAAGATACTGGTTCTCATTAAAGGGACTGCTAAAAACATCTACCCTTTGTGGTAGGCAGAGTTCTAAGATGACTCATTCTTGTGTAATCTTCTCCCCCTGAGTGTAGGTGGAACCTGTGAATATGATATCACTCCTTGTGACTAAGTGGCATTATATGGCAAAAGGCATTCTTGCAGATGCAATTAAGGTTACCAGTAGACTCCGGGTTAATTGAAAGGGAGATATCTGAGTGGGCCTAACCTAATCATTATCTAGGTGGGCCAGAGAATTATCTTAGTCTGCAGCAGAAGAGACAGCAATTCAGGGTGTGAAGGAGATTCATCCACTGCAATGATGTGAGCAGTCTTGTGACAAGGTCCATGGCAAGGAACTGCAAGCAGCCTCTACTAGCTGAGAACGGCCTCCAGCAGGCAGCCCAAAAAATTGGGACTTCAGTTCTATGCCACAAAAACTGAATTCTGTCAACAACCTGAGTGAGCTTAGATACAGATTCTTCCCCAGAGCCTCAGGGGAGATTGCAACCACTATGAGTCACCTTGAGTGTGAGACCCTGGGCAGAGAAGCCAGTGAAACCACACTGAACTTCTAATAAGAAACTATGGGACAATAAATTGGTATTGTTTTAGGGCAGTATGTTTATGGTAGTTTGTTATAGAGGAATGGAAAATTAATACACTCCTTCTTCCTTCCTCCCCAAAACACATCAATTAGTTATGTAGGATGGATGAATAGATAGAGAGAGAGAGAGATTGAGCATGTGATAATGCTCTTAAAAGTTTGTGTCCTCAAATAAATAGCTCAACCTGTCTTAGAACCTAGTTTCTTCTCCTTCTGTTTTTCTTCTTCTTCCTCCTCTTCTTCTTCCTTCTTCCTTCTTCTTTCTTCCTTCTTCCTTCTTTCTTCTTCTTCTTTCAGACACAGTCTTGCTCTGTTGCCCAGGCTCGAGTGAAATGGCACAATCTTGGCTCACCTCTTGGGTTCAAGTGATTGTTATTCCTCAGCCTCCCAAGTAGCTGGAACAACAGGCATGCACCATCAAGCCTGGCTATTTTTTGTATTTTTAGTAGAGATGGGGTTTTGCCATGTTGACCAGGCTGGTCTGGAACCCCTGGCCTCCAGCACTTCACCCACCTCAGCTTCCCGAAGTGTTGGGATTACAGGCGTGAGCTGCCGTGCCCAGCCCCTAGATTTTTTATATGCAAAAAGTAAGTATGAACCAAAGCAAAAGAATCTATCTTAATAACTCACCTCTCCATATTTTTCCAATTCTAAGATCTCTAAGACTCTGCTATTCTCATGATGGCATAACTTAATATATCCTATTTATTATTTATGCATCCACCTTTCCTAATGTGTATTTGTAACAAAAGTCACCTTTCTTAAGTTTTTATCTTTGTACCTAGCATATGTATCATTTCATTTAATAGTCACCAAAATCCTGTAATGAATAAATCCCATAATAGAGAAACCATTCATTCTTACACTTTAACTCATTTGTTCACAAAATTTATTGAGCATTTACTATGTGCTGGATACTGTTCTATGCCCTAGGGATACAACAGTACATAAGGTTTTTAAACAACCTTTTCACTTCCATGAAGATTATTCTAGCAGGAGAGCCAGACAATAAATGAATAAACAAGTAAATGAATAAGACAGTCTCAGATTTAATTAATGCTAAGAGGGGAATAAAAGAAGGCAATAGGATAGTGAGTGACTGAGGTAGAGGATGGCCACTTTAGGCAGAGAGAGATTTGATTCATGAAAAGATACTGTAACACAAAGTCCTGAGGAAAGTGTATTTCAAACAGAAGCTATCACAAGGACACGTGTGAAGACCTACAGCAGGAAAGGGCCAGGCACACTCACAAACCAGGACCAACATAAAACTCAGCCTCAGAGGAGCTGAAGAAGTTACCCAGGGTTATTCAGCCAGTAACTTGTAAAACTGGGATGTGAATGCAGGTTTAGGTCCTGCATTCAAATACAGGGATATTTGTGGGATAGGTCCTGACCCAGGGGTAATACCCACAGAGCTCTTTAGCATGGGTTTGTATATTAGTCTGTCCTCATGCTGTTAATAAAGACATACCAGAGACTGGGTAATTTATAAGGGAAAGTGGTTTAATGGACACACAGTTTCACATGGGGAGGCCTCACAGTCATGGCAGAAAGCAAAGAAAAAGTTAAGGCACATCTTGCTTGGTGGCAGGCAAGAGAGCCTGTGCAGGGGAACTCCCATTTATAAAACCATTGGATCTCGTGAGACTTATTCACTATCACGAGAATAGCACAGGAAACACCTGCCCGCATGATTCAATTACCTCCCACCAGGACCCTCCCATGACATGTGGGAATTATGGGAGCTACAATTAAAGATAAGATTTGGTGGGGACAGAGCCAAACCATATCAGTTGGGAAACTATGGTCCACAGACCAGATTCAGCCCACCAACTGGGTTTGTATGGCCCATGAGCTAAGAATGGCTTTTCTATTTGAACAATGGTTGAAAAAGCCAAAAAAAAAAAAAAAAAAAAAAAAAGCCAAAACAATATTTCATGACTTGTGAAAATTATATAAGATTCAAATTTTAACATTCATAAATAAAGTTTTATTGGTACATAGCCACACCCCTCTGTTCAGGAATTGTCTCTGGTGGCTTTTGGGATGCAACCTCAGAATAGAATAATTATGACAGAGGCCATAAGATCCATAAAGCCTAATATATTTGTTACTGGCTCATTACAGAAAAATCTGAAGACCCCCTGCTCTGTATCCCCTTATCACACCACTTAAATGAGTAGGGAATATTGTTAACAGTGAACCACTATGGCTTCTGCCTTAAAACCTAATGGAAGGAGGTTTAGAAGCCAAGTTTTTCCACTGCTGGAGCTTACAGGCAGGTAAGAGTAGCTGAAGATCAATCAAAAGGGGTTCCTCTCTCTTTGTTCTGTGTTTAGGGTTATTTATGCTACTTCGATTATCATTACTGTATCTTCAGACCCAAAGATGAAATTAGGAGAAGAGTGAAGTAGGATCGCAGAACTAGAGAGGAGAATGCACAAGATAAATGAGATGTGATCACACTTCAGAAACAGGGGGAGAAGAGGCACGATGTTTGTGAGCACAAGGAAGAGAGTTAGAAAACACAGTATTTTCAATGACTCCTTGGGGACCCTCTGAGAGATGATGTGAAATCACACCAATGGCAGTGGATCCCGCCCTCACTACTCATTACTAGTTAGCACAATCATTTTAATGACACTAAGCCCCAATTTTCTCAACTATAATATCTTAAGGGAGCGGTCATTACTATAAGGTGAGGTGCTCCTATTTGTTGTCAAACACCCAATACATTTACAGGATGACACATTTAAGTAGATACCCATGTGTCTGTTTTCCTCACCAGCTCTGTGTGCTCACCTTGAAAGCCCAGCACTTTACCTAGTGTCTGCTTATTGGTAGGCATGTGATAAATATTAGCTGAATGAATACATGAATAAATGAATGCTGTGACAATTAAATTACACGTGTGTGAAACTGGATGTAAGTGAAAGCACCTACCCCAGGACCTAGGACATTCAAAAACCCTAAGAAATAACTTCTTTCATCTATGAAGAAGCAAAATCAACTTGCTCCTCCATTTGCTAGCTGTTGCAATTTCACAAGCTTGTCATGCTAAATACCAAAATGCCACCTGCTGAAGTTTCATAAACCCCAGGGAAAAGGATAGAGTCAAAAGCTGTTTCCTTGATAAATTACCCTGGGTGTTTCTTTCAAAAGCTGTTTGCAGATGACATAATCATACATAAAAATAGACTTGTATTCTCAGGCTACCATTCTCAGATACAATGACTTATTTCCTGGAGAAAATTGAAGAGGGAAAATATGTGTCATCCTTTACTGCAATTCCTCATGGAGAACAGACATTCTCCTTTTTGTTGTTTTTTTTTTTTATTTTTAACGATAAAGATGTTGAACACAATGATCAAAAATCTGTAGCTCACCGTGTCGTTTCAGTGTAGGGCGGCTAAAGAATAAGTGTAGCCACTAAAAGATATTTCAGAATAAGTCCTGTTCTTCGTGTGCATTTCCAGACCCCCTGTAGACCACAGCAAACTTCTTTAAAATCCCCCCTTTCCTCCTCGTATCCACATCCTTCTCCAGTTGCAGCTGCTCCCACAACCTACATGGCTGAGACAGGAGGCACATGGTTTGTACTTGGTTTAAAGGACACAAGAAGGTCCTGAACGACTAGGAACTTATCTTCTCACTTACCCGCTGGGAGACTTCAGGAAACTATGTAACTTTCCCAAGCCCCATTTTTTTCATCTACAAAATGGGGGTGGAAGTAGCATGGAACTCTTGCAAGAAAAATGTATTCATAAAATTGTATATAAAGCACTTAATACATGGCACTCACTAACTAGGGGCTTATTATTGTCATTACAAGTTATATTAATGATGTGATTTTAGAAGCAGTCTCATGTCCTCCAGAAATTGCTATCATTGATTGAGGGCTTATGATGTGCTAAGCACTGTTCTAAGTGTTTTTTTTTTTTTCCCCCATTTTCTGGGTTATCCTTACAATAGTCCTAAGAGAGAAGAAGGCTTATCAATCCCTCTTTACAGATAAGGGAACTTGCCCAAGTTTACTCCATGGGTGAGCAGAAAGCAGAGCCAGGATTTGAACCAGGCTGTCTGGCTCCAGAACGTGACCATTAGCCTAGACGGCTCACCTTTGAAACACTGTGATGATTTCACAATCCAGACACATTCACAGAGACACAAACATCCAATCAGGAAGGAAAGAATGTTTTAGCAGTAATAACAGATTTTTCTTTTTAAGTTTTTACAGCATTTTCCCCTGATTTCCAAGAAAGTTAGCTCCTCTCCTTTGACAATTTGGTCACATTTCATACATTTTAAATAAATCCTCACTTTACATAAAGAGGAAAAAAGAATTATTACAAATTACTTTGTGTATTACAACGTAATACAATTATGTAAAAACCAAATGCTAAGAAAAGGCACAGAATAAAACACTGAAAGAAAATACTTCAAAAGTTGAAAATAATCATCTTTTAAAAGTGATTCTTGATCTCTTCAAATTGTCTGTCTTTTCCCATATATACATCACTTTTTTGCAGGAAAAAATATTATTTCATAGAATGAATATCACATTTTATCAGTTTTTTTGCAGAAACCAGCACTTCCCTTATTATCTGAACTATACAGCAGGGGCCAATTGTGCTTGTTTAAACACTTCAAAGTTCCTTTAAACACATAAGAAATTAACATTTTCTCCTATTTAAATTCAATAGGTTATTCTCTTCCACTTTTCATATGTGCTAGTTTAAGCCTAACATTTAGAAACCGCTTAAAACCGTTTCTGTGAATGGAAGCCTGCCAAAAAATAGAAGTTTATTTTCTGTCTGATTTTATGCCATTGGTCTGTTTTGCCCTCTCTTGTCCAGGTATTCTACAAAATTTTTGCATATGTTTAGTAACCATTACCATAGTGCTAAATTCTATGAAACATCAAACTGATAATAAAGATGAATAAACTACATTAAATATCATTCTGCATCAGACCTGAAAGCTGGCCAACTCACTGCACTTTCAAAGCTTTAAACAATCGTTTTCTAAAATGTGCCAAGCACAGTGCTAGGTACTTTCTCAAACAGTTAATATTCTGAGAAGCCTGTTGTATTAGTCAGGGTTCTCCAGACAAGTAGAACCAACAGGATATATGGAAGGAGAGAGAAATTTGTTTTAAGGAATTGACCCACACAATTGTAGGGGTACAAGTTCAAAATCTGCAGGGTAGGCTAGCAGACTGGAGACCCAGGAAGCGTTGCAGTTTGGGTCCAAAAGCAGCCTACTGGCAGAATTCCTTCCTGCACAGGGGAGCCAAGTCTTCAGTATTCGTTCTATCAAGCCCCTCAATTGATGGGATGATGAGGTCCACTCACATGATGGAGGGTAATCTGCTTTACTCAAAGTCCACCAATTTAAACGTTAATCTCACCCACAATAACACCTTCATAGGAACACCCAGAATAATGTTAAACCAGATAGCTGGGCACCGTGGCCCACCCAAGTTGGACACGTAAAATTAATCATCACACCTGTGATACCAGCCAAGGTGAAGAAATGAACCTCAAAGCAACTTCACCTCTCCTTACTAAACTCTCATAGAGTAGCCATTTGTTAATATTTTCAAAAGCCCCTATTTAATCTGTTTTTATTTCTCATAAGAAAATTCCCAAATGTAAAATTCAAGCGTTTGAAAAGAAAGCTGTCAACAGTAAAATACAGAAAAATCTCATTAGCTAAATTAATTCTGTCCAAGATCAGTCATTTTTTTAGAATCCTGAATTGTTAGATATTCAAAGATATACTAGATTTTTAAGTACTGTTACATGTTTTAGCTAAAACAGAATCACTGCCAATTAGCAAGCCAATGTCCTTCTTTCTGAATCTGCTTTAATAATCAGATTTAAATGATCAGTAAATAGCACATTGATTATTGATATGGAAATAGACACCAAATGAATTTTTAAATAATGTGTTCTTGGGGGAGGTCAAGCCTGGCTCACGCAGTCTAGCGTTTGTTATTAATGAATGTAATTTATCAAGCCCAAGTCTGGCTTGGAGTAGATTCTACATTAATGATGGCCAAATTATTATGGTTCTTCTAAGTAGTTATTCAAAACAGCAGTGTTTGTCTAACAATTTCACAAGGCTTTGGGTTTTGTTTTTGTTTTTGTTTTACTTTTTAAGACACAATACTTTCCATTAATGTAATTCCAGAGAAGAGGTTAGAAAATGTCCCTTGTCTTCCACAGTGAGAGATGCTGCTTTTAGTGTGGTCAATAGAAGCCTGGAAAGGAGGAATATTTCAGAAGAACACATAAGCGAATGCCTAGCACAGGCCCTGAATAAATGCCTGCCGGATCGGACTCTGAGTCTCATACAAGGCCAAGCTGAGGAACAATTTGCAGGTCGATTCAAGTGCAGGCCTGTTTCCTGATGGGCCCCAGAGAGACAGGACACATTAGGTAGGTTTATCAACTGGGGAGTGAAGAGCTATTCCAACAATAAAACTAGATTGATGGAGTCTCCTTCTAATTCGTTACTAAAATTCCAAAGTTCTTCCACAAACATGACTTTGTTCATGTGTAGTTTTGAGGTCTCCCTTTTTTATCATCAGAGAGATAGTCAAATAAAAAATTTTTGAAATCTTCTAGTGCATTTTACATAGGGGATCTGCCCAGTCTTACTGCTGCTTCTCTTTGACGGCCACTCATCTTCCATTTAAGATTCTGTTTCTTAAAAAGCTTCAAATTAGCCGGGCACGGTGGCTCACACCTGTAATCCCAGCACTTTGGGAGGCCAAGGCGAGTGGACCACTTCAGCCCAGGACATGGTGGGCAACATGGTGAAACCCTGTGTCTACAAAAAATGCAAAAATTAGCTGGGCATGGTGGCACATGCCTGTAGTCTCAGCTATTCAGGAAGCTGAGGTGGGAGGATCACTTTAGCCCTGGAAGTCAAGGTTGCAGTGAGTCAAGGTCACACCACTGCACTCCAGTCTGGGTGACAGAATGAGACTCTGTCTCGAAAATAAATAAATAAATAAATAAACCTCCAAATAAATAGAATGTAACATAATCTCTGTAGGTGATTAAGCGCATCTCAATTTCAGCGTACCCATTCTTCATCCTTTTTGCCTGTAGCCACATTATTTGATGATTCACCTTACATCCTCCCCATAACTTGTGTTGGCGGAGAACCTGGGATTCCAGTTGCTAAGAGAAGCATGTGGAAAAACGGAGGGTGTGGCTTGAAACGCTCTGTGGTGATTCCACCTCTGGATAGGGATCAAAGCTGAACACCTTTGAACATAGGGACCAGACATTTATATGTGTTCAGAAAGGTCCCAAAATTCAGGAGCAAGTATTTCCTGGGTCCCTCTGAGGTGAGGAGCAGAAGCCTTAATAAGCCTTAATAAGTGGGTTTGGAGGCCAGGAAAGCTTGGTTTCCAGCACTTGCTTTGGCGCTTAGCACTACAGGTTTCTTTCTTTCTTTCTTTCTTTTCTGAGATGAAGTCTCGCTCTGTTACCCAGGCTGGAGTGCAGTGGCGTGATCTCTGTTCACTGAAACCTCCGCCTCCCAGGTTCAAGCAATTCTCCTGCCTCAGCCTCCCAAGTAGCTGGGATTACAGGTGCCTGCCACCACACCTGGCTAATTTTTTTTTAAGTAGAGACGGGGTTTTGCCATGTTGGCCAGGCTGGTCTTGAACTCCTGACCTCAGGTGATCCACCCACCTCAGCCTCCCAAAATGCTGGGATTACAGACATGAGCTACCATGCCCAGCCCAGACAAGGTTTCTTAAGCAAACTGGAGCCTCAGTTTCCTCACTTGTAAAATAGGGATAACTAATTCCACATGCCTCGAAGACATAACTAGAAATAATGTAAACAAGTCACTGAGCACAGTGGCCACCACATAGTAGGCACTCTGTAAACGCTGGCTTCTAAATATGAGAAAAAGAAAGTAGGTTGGCTATAGAATTGAGATAGTTTGAAACAATGACTATAGGTCTAGATATCAAAAAGAAAATAGATAACTTATTTCCCATATAGACACAGCTTTATCATAAGAAATTTAACACATGCACTTCCAGTTTTAATAGAGAGGAGAAAAATGACTATTTAGACTACATGCCCATGGATTCAGCTCTGCTTAGCTTAGCCCCAGCCATGATGACTCAGAAAGGCCAGGGCACCTCAGGGAGCTTTCTGCACAAGGAGCAGGGAGAAAGATGCATATGTTCTCCCAGGCAGAGGACAGAGGGATCTTGGAGATCCCTGTTAATGCTGGCAGCCAAGGCTCAGTTCTTCACAATTTTCTTTCTTGGCACCCACCTCTCTACTTTAACTGATGCTCCTTCACTCCACAGGGGATTGCTAAAGAGCCCTAGCAACTCAGTACCACGTAACACTAAAAGACTTCCAGCAAGAGAGCTAAGAACGTTAACGACCATGTATACTTGAGCCTCTGCTGATTACCGGGATGGACACGCCTGCCCACCTATTTCTGACATCATAACCAAAATAATCATCTGGCAAAGGAACTCCCAAGAGGGAAGTTTCCTGCACACTCTCAAATGCTGGATAGTTGATTGTGCAGAAATTTGTTTGATATATTTATGGCACCTACTTGTGTGATGCCTTCAAAGAATGCAATGAGCAAATGCCACAGACTTCCTCAAAAATGCACGATGGACCCAGTAAATAATTTTATACTTCTTTGACATGGTATTGGCTTCCCAGAGGCTTACAGTATTTGAAAGGCAGGCCACCTGAATTTGAAACAGTATCCTATTGACATAGTTTGAGTTATTGCTGAAAAATAGTTTTAGCCATGTCCTATCCCCCCAATGCAAGTCAAATAAAAGAAATGGATATGAAGGAACTACACACCTGGATTTTGGCAAGTGCTTGAGGATTGATGGAGACAAATACGCATTTCTTCCATGTGAGACAGAGAAGCAGCACTGCAGAAGGGAACTGCTCTTCCAGAAGTCTGACCTTCCATCTTGTAAGAACGGTCCCATTGCTCTAAAGGTTTAATGGCATCCAGTTCGTTTGGGGTGAATTTAACACACTGTATTAGCCAGTATGTAAAGGCTCTCCTTTGATATAGGTGATAGTTATGCAATGGATGAGTAACATCACTTCAGAGCACACATCAAGTTTTTCCATTGGAACCGCCTGCACTAATAGTTAACATAAAATTCTGAAGGGAAAGCACCAGGCCGAGGCATAGATGTGCTTCCTCTTGACATCTTGTACCAATATGCTACGACCAATTGAGGAAGCCGTACCTCATCTTCAAATGACTGAGCTTTCTACTGCAGCTCTTAAAAAACAGTATTTGTAATTGTAACCAGATTGTCCCCCACCAAACACACCATAGAATCTGGTAATAAAGGTAATGTTCTTCTATAAAACAACGGTTTCATAAAATGATCAGAGCCTGGCCCAGTGTCCTAAACACTTACCTACCCCTTAAAGTGTTGAATTAGATTAAAGTGCTGTGGGGACATAACTGATGTAATGTTTCAAAATCATAAATGCAGGAGGAGGGATTTTAAAGCTGGATCATGGAGAGAATGGAATAACGCAATAAAAGCTGGCTCAAACGCTGAGTCTGTGATACCTGATTTATTGTTTTAATATAATGCTGTAAAGGCCATGCTTGAATATACAGGAGTATTTTATTTATCTAATAGTCGTGATCCTAACAATGGGTGTTTAACAATGGCTTTAGACTGAGATGGTGGCACACACAAATGAAACTGGTTTCAGGATGCTCCCCAAGAAAGGTAACACAGCAGGAGGCAGGAGAGATTGAGAGGCTGTGTTTCAGGGGTACCTGAGAGGCCCTCTGAAAATATAATTCCTCACCTCTCCAGCATAGCTCCGCAGCCTTAAGAACTGCCCCAGCCCTACAAAGCTCAGCAAATTGGACATAAGATGAAGGCCCTGGAGAAAAATCACAGCCCACAGGACTGAACTGAACTGACGACTCTGGGTCCTCTCTGAAGCTACCCTCCACCAGTGGGGGAAAGAAGGTCACAGGAAGGGAGGAAGAGATCAGCACCTATGGGTGCCCTGTCTCCATGAAGACCCAGATCCCCACTCCTGAAATATGCCAGAGACGATGCTATGAACCACAAAGCTGAAGTTCAACTTCATCCTGGGGATATTTTCAACTTGTTCTATATTGAGAAATTAGGAATTGGGCTTGATACATTGAGTGACATCCTTCTTTTTTACAAAAATCAAAATCTACCATCCACGAGCTATTTCCACCATCAGCCTGACCAATGGTGGGGTCCTTCACTGCTTCTTTAGCAGCATAACACAGTGGCTAGGAGAAGTTCTGGGTCCAAACCCACTTCTATTCCCTACAAGCCTTGTGACCTCATGCTGATTAGTGTCAACTCTCTAAGCCTTAGCTTCCTCATCCTTACAATGAGGTTAAGAATAGTACCCACTTCATAGAGGATTAAATAAAATACTATATATAAGTAGCAATGTTGGAACAAGAGTGACTCAGGATTTATAACCAAAATTCAATGCTTCACTTTAAAATCGATTCAGTGGGAGAAATTTTTGCTTTGCACTTGGTAGAAGTCCTGTCTGGCTGTATGGCTGTATGGCTCACAACTTAAGGGCCTCAGATAATAAAAAGTCCTCCAGTCACACCTCAAATGCAGCCTCAACTCAGAAATGTAAAGGACCAGTTCCAGCAAATAATCACATATGACTTGACTTCAAATCTTCTCCCTTCCCTAAGCCAGGATCCATTCCATAGGGAATCTGATTTTTCTAGAAGATCCTCTTGGGCAGAGCCCTTTCAAAATGACCCCAGACACAACATTCCAGCCACAATACACACTTCTAACTCAATGTTAATACACTCTGACCTGTTTCCCCACTTCCTCCTCCCTCACTACTCTCCTTCCCACTCTTCCTTTTCAGGCCCAATCTTAATGTGCCCTCAAAATGCCAGCACACAGCACCCTCCAAGTAGTCTCACTGAAGTCCCTCATTGGAGGAGAGGAGGGGAAGGAATTTGGCAGTGGCTCTTCACAAAGAAATCCTTTTCACAAATCCATTCTTTCTATTATTTTATATCCTCTTTGTGGCTTTTCATGCCTTGTAACCCCTGTTCCTTTGAAAATCTTCCATTTGTTCTGGGATCTCCTTTAGGATTTCATATCTACAGTATTCTGGTACTGCTGTTGAAATTTTCAGTTTACCTCCTATCACATGTGCACAGAGTAATTAGCACATGTCTGGCATACAGTAAGCTTCTAATAAATCCCAGAGTTATAAATATTATTAAAATAATATTAGTAAATCCATGAGTACTTAGTTTAAAAAGACTATTTTTAAATAGTATTAATAAATCCAGAGTAATAATGCCAATACTAACTGACAGTACATAGAAAGCATAATAATGTCAGGCCAGGCACGGTGGCTCACGCCTGTAATCCTAACACTTTGGGAGGCCAAGGCAGGCGGATCACGAGGTCAGGAGATCAAGACCATCCTGGCTAACACGGTGAAACCCTGTCTCTACTAAAAATGCAAAAAAGTAGCCGGGTGTGGCGGTGGGCGCCTGTAGTCCCGGCTACTTGGGAGGCTGAGGCAGGAGAATGGCGTGAACCGTGAGGCGGAGCCTGCAGTGAGCCTGGGTGACAGAGCGAGACTCCGTCTCAAAAAAAAAAAAAAAAAAGAAAGCATAATAATGTCAAGTTTTAAACACTAATCAGGGCATGTCTTCTCCTTGCTTAAAGTCCTCCAATGGCTTCCCACTGCACTTAGAATGAAAATCTCCTCCCCTTCATTCTCACCCTGGCCCCTGCCCACTTCTCCTACCACTCACTTTTTCCTGTATTTCCTTTAACGTCATTGGGCTTTTTATACTGTTATTTCTCCAACACCTCAAGCTCTTTCCCATCTCCGGGTCTTTGCCCTCCCTGCTCCCACTCGCTTAAACACTCCTCCCTGATCTCTGCTCTCACTTAGATCCCAGCCCAGAGAGGTCCAACCTGACCACCCAACTGGAATATATTTTGATGCCTCACCCCAATCCCAGGTACACACAACCTCATTCTTATGAAACATTCTCTTCATAGCATGTATCATAATCTGAAACATTTTCTCAATTTTTCTGTTTGCTAGTGTTATGGACTGAATGGTTATGTCTCCTTCAAATTTATATGTTGAAGCCCTAACCACCAGTATGATGGTATTCTGAGGTACAGTCTTTGGGAGGTAATTAAGGTTCTATGAGCTCATGATGGTGGGGCCCTTATAATGGGATTAGTGTCCTTATAAAGAGTAGAGGAAGAAAGGCAAGAGCTTTCTCTCTCTCCACCTGCCATGTGAGACCATAGCAAGCAGGTAGCTGTCTACAATCTACAAGCCTGAAAAAGAGACCTCACCAGGAACTAAATCTGCTGGTGCCTTGATGGAATTCCCAGGCTCCAGAATTTTGAGAAATAAATGTCTGGTTTTTAAGCCACCCAGTCTTTGGTATTTTATTATAACAGCCTGAGCTGACGTAAGCACATCATTATCTGTCTCTTTTTCTCCCTCAAACAATGAGTGCATCCTCTATAATATCTGTCTGAAGAAAAGCTCCTTCTCAAGTATGTAGTAATCTCCGAAGCATATTAGATATGATAAGATGATAATTATAACTATTAACATATACTGAGTACTTACATGAGAGGCATAATGATCCCATTTAACACAGCCCTACCAAGAAAATATTATTATGCCCATTTTCTCCTGAGAAAACTAAAGCACAAAAAAAGGTTAAGTAAACTAGGCCAAGGTCATATAGTCAGTAAGTTGTGGCATCAGAATTTGAACATAGATTGTCTTGCCTCAGAACCTGGACTCATAACCACCAGGTAGCCTACCATCTTGTATTTCCAACACTCTCTGAGCAGAGCAGAGGTTCTGCCAGTGGAAAGCCCATTGTCTCTAATTACCCAGGCATAATCACCTCTTGCCACTCTACCCTCTCCCTGCCTTTACAAATTTGCTGTAAAGCTACAGATTTAAGACTGAATTTTTACATAAATGCACAGAGTAGTCATAAATCTATAAATTTAAGACTCTAAATTTTTACCATTCAAATTCCTTTTAGCTTAATCATCATTTTATGATGTTTCTCTGAAATATCTCTATCAACATCTGCTTGGCACTGGCTTAAATGCTAGACTACAAAATCTGCTAATTGCTTACTTGTGGAATCATTCACACATGTGTTGCTCACCCATGGGATATGACTTCTGTACCAAGTCGACATGAACTTCTATTGCTTTCTTTGTCCTTTCTTTTCTCTTATTATATTTTTCTTTTTCTTTTCTTTTTTTTTTTTTTTTAGAGACATGAAGGGGAGACAGGGGCAGAACTACAGGAGGTGGGCTCCAAAACATTTATTTCTGAGCTTTATAAAAATAATAATAAATAGCACTTATTAAGGACTTCTTGAAGAGATACAGTATAGTGTAGTGGTTAAAATTATGTGCTCTGGAGACAGACATACTTTGAACACTCACTTGAGACCTTGAGCTTGTTACTTCTCCTCTCAGTGCCTCAGCTTCCTTATCTGCAAAATAAAGATACATTCATACTAGAATATTTGAATATTAAATGAGTATAAATATATACACATATATACTGTTTAGAACAGTACTGGCATAAAAATATTATATAAATGTGATGGCTCTGCCAGGTTAGGGCAAGAGATTGCAAAAAAGGGGATGCCAGAAGAGGGGGTGTCAAAATAATTGCACTGAGAGAGGGGTTCAATTAACCTCTGGACTAGTACAAAGTGTATGAAACATAATCCTAAGAAAATGCATTTATAGCCAGGCATGGTGTAGTCCCAGCTACTCAGGAGGCTGAGGCAGGAGAATCGCTTGAACCTGGGAGGCAGGGGTTGCAGTGAGCCGAGATTGCACAACTGCACTCCAGCCTAGGTGACACAGTGAGACGCTGTGAAAAAAAAATGCATTTATAGATAAAAATATTTGCCTAGTTGAAATGAAACATCACAGTGCAGGTCACAGAGAAAGGGAAGTACAGCATTTTCATTTTGAGGTGGTACAATATTCCTATTGTCTCCCATTTACAATCATGGATTCTAAGTGTCCATAGGTTATTGCTATTAAGCATATAGCTGATACAGGAATTACGCTCTACCACGGCTGACACAAGGTCCCAGCCTTTGCTTGAACAACCGGGCTATGTGGTAGGGTGAATAATGGGCCCTCCTAAAGTGCATGTCCTAATCTCCAGAACCTGTGAATGCTGCTCATATGGCAAAAGGCACTTTGTAAATGCAATTAAATTAAGAATTTTAGAGACAGAGAATAGCCTGGATTACACATGTGAGCCTAAATGGAATTACAAGTGTATTAGTCTGTTTCACGCTGATATAAGGACATGCCCGAGACTGGGTAATTTATAAAGGAAAGAGGTTTAATTAACTCACAGTTCCACAGGGCTGGGGAGGACTCAGGAAACAATCATGATGGAAAGGGAAGCAAACATATCCTTCTTCACATGGTGGCAAGAGAGTGCCCAGTGAAAGAGGAAGCTCCTTATAAAACCATCAGATCTCATGAGAACTCACTATCATGAGAACAGGATGGGGGAAACCATCTCAATGATTCAATTATCTCCACCTAGTCCCTCCCATGACACGTGGAGATTATGGGAACTACAATTCAAGATGAGATTTGGGTGGGGACACAGCCAAAGCATATAGACAAGTGTTCTCACAACAGGGAGGGAGAGGGAGATTTAACTACAGAAATAAGAGACATGATGATGGAAGCAACAAGCTGGTGTGATGAGAGAATGGGGTCACAAGCCAAGGAGTGCAGGCTCCAGAAGTTAGCAAGGGCAAGGAAACTAGAGCCTCCAGAAGGAATGATCCCTATCGACGTCTTGAATTTAGTACAGTGAGACCAATTTTAAACTTCTAGCCTCCAGGACTTCAGGAGAATAAATCTGCACCTAATCACTAAGTTTGTGGTAATGCATTACTGCAGCAAGAGGAAATTCATACACACCAAAACTCCGTTGTGATTACTGTTGACACAGTGGTCCTCCAACTTTGCACCTTAGAAATGCTTATGCCTCAAAACCTAGATATTCAATAGCTAAATTTGAATCATGAATAAAGTTATTATAGGAAAAAAATATAGTAGCTATCAGTTTTTGAGAACATATTACCACTATGCTTTTCCATGTATTGTTTCATTAAATTTAATCCTCACAACAATTCTCTTATGATAGTTGAGCAGACAGGTTTAAAGAGGCTGAATAATTTGCCCAAAGTCATAAAGCTAACTAAGTAGCCAAACGGGGGTTCAGTCCCAATTTGAGTCCAAAAATAATGGCACTGAATTTAACATATAAAAATATATAAAATTTGAGTTTTCTCCCAGTGGTTTTTCTTCTATTTGGAAGGGTCTACTATCATTTGTTTGCCAGCATAGGCTAGTAGCCATAGAAATGAATGAGAAAGAACAAACAATATTATCAGAAAAATTCAAAATTGTCAATGCCTATGATCAAACCCCTTCTTTAAAAACACTCAGGATTTGGATTTGTAATTCTGATGTTACATTGTTTTGTAGAACATACCATTTAGTTATATTCATATTTCTAAGGGTAGTAAACTTGAAAGAATTAAATATAGAGTGTCTTTTGAGGTTGCCTCTTATATATGTGTCTGTTATTATCAGATGCCAGGCCATGATAAGCATTTAATTTTCACAACTATCCTGTGATACTGGTAATTTTTATTTTTGCATTTTACAAATAAAAAAATTAAGGCTTAGAATGTTTTAAATAATTTGCTTAAGGTCACCCAGTTTATGAGCATCAGAGACAGGGCTGGAACTAACGGCAGTCCGATTTCAAAAACTATGCTTTTCTGCACCCCACTGAAAGGAGGATGCCCAAACTTTAACCCCCCACCCCCACCAAAGCATCATGCAGAATATTCCATTCCATCCATGCACAACCTTTATGACCCCTTTTGAAGTAACATAACCTATTTTATGGAGAGCATGGAGAAAGGCTCTCCATAAAGAGGCAAAAGGAGAGAACCATTTGATTAAATTTTGTGGTGGTGTGCAAAGAACACGGTATCTTCTAGATATGAGATACCCTGGGATAAAATGTTGTCCAATTGTATTGAACCCAAGTGTGTTTACATGTGACCTCAACTCCCTTCCTTGGATCTGTCCTCTGGGGTCACAGAGAACAAGTGTACTCTTCTTTCATCCAACAAGCCTTTTATGTCTTCCCAAGTTTGTTTGTTTCTGAGCTAAACGTATTCCTGTTCTTCAGTCGCCCTTGATGTGACAAGGTTTGTTGTAGGATATGCCAAAATCAGAGATGTCTCCCCAACTGATTTTAGTTGTGTCATCTCGGCAAGACGAAAGCCTCAGGACATGGAGAGAGTGAGAAGGAGACAGGTCAGAGATCTTGTTTTTGGCTTTATTTTTCCTTTAGTTATACTATTCAAGATAGTGCAATGTAATATTTAGCTCTCCCAGCCCCTGCTTCCAGCCCTTGGCCAAAGGATTGAAGGGGAGTCATGGCCTCCTAAACTGACACTGATCACTTACACATAGGGGATGACACAGAGGGGTGTCACACCCCACAGCCAATTTAGTGGGCATGACCAGGAAACAGATTCAATGTAAGGAGGAGTACCTTTTATTTCCTCCGCTGGGGCAGAAACGTTTCTACGTCATTTAAGTCATTAACATTTATGTCTAGTGTTCCGAATGCTAAGTATGTGGGAGTTATTTATATCCTAATGCTCAAGGTCATGGCCGAGGTCTGATTGCAAAAATTCAAAAAATTGCAACTTCAGGCATAAAGGGTTAAGGGGCAGATCTTCACAAACTCCACAGAAGCCAGCAAGCACAGTACCCAGGCAAACAAGTGCTACTTAGCATGGGACTGCCATAACCTTCCTGCAGGAAAAGGCACACAAACCTCATCATGAGTCCCCTAAGCACACAGACAATGGTCATACTCAGTTAAACAATCTGTTCCCATGAAAAAGGAAAGATCATTCATTTTTATTGAGCCTCAGTAGGGCCTTCAGGCCTCCCAAAGGAATCTGATCTATGACCCACTGTAGCCATTTCTGTCTTCACCATCTTGGTTCTCCTCTAGTTAATTCCACTTAGAATGGCCTGATCACAAAAGCAATAAAGTCAATATATTTATTATAAAACAATAAATGACTAATGGCACACCCTTTCCTAGGAAAGATAGCACAAGAGAAAGTCATCCCCCTCAAACACAGTCCCGTAAAACATATTTGTACTAAAAGAAAAGGGAGAAAAGGCCATTCTATGGCTCTGTATTTTACCGCAAAATAGCCTAGTTAAACACATCTGGGCCTAGGATGAAGAGTAACACTCTTCAAGTCAGTCACAAGGGTCTTGACGAGAAATTCAGGACTTCTGAGAATATGCCTTGGGTTCCTGGTGGATTTTGGTGCACTTACCCCTTCCGACCACATGAAGGCGCTCTGTGCTCCGGTGGAGCAAGTAGAGTCAAGAAAGCAGGGTTCAGAGTGAGCCTCTGCTTATTTTCAGTCTGGGATTTGGCACAAACTCTTTACCCTTCTGAGCTTTGATGACCTCATCTGTGGAAGGGTTATTATTATTCCTCAGGATAATAGTTACCTCCTGGGGCTGTTGTGAGAATAATGAGGTAACCACTAGGACGCACAGCATAGCTTGTGAAACAGGACCAAGGAGCTGCTTCCGCTCTCTGTCTCCCACGGGCCCTTCCAGTTCATTCCACAGGGCTGGCTTTTTCTTGTCCCTGGATCCGATTAGAGCAAGTTTTATAACTCTTCTGGATACTTTCAAGTAATCAAAGAAGGCTTGATTCGGAAATTCCTATCTTCTATCCAATGAAATAAATAAAACTTTCCGTTTTTCCGTTCTCACTCACAACCTCTCCATGTTCACCGCTGGCCCAAGCAGGCTGGCTGCCTGCCCAGGAGAAAGTGGTGTTTGACCTTTCTTTCTCCACCTTGCACATTCGTCCTTTCTCCTCAAACTTGTTAATCGTGGCTTCTTACCCTTCAGGATCAGAAAGTACGGAGACGAGAGAAGAAAAGGGGTCTCCGCTCAGGATGATGAGGCATGCGCCCTCAGGTTCTCTCCCTGGCTTCTCCTTGAGTCTCTGAGACGTGCTCCCTTGCCCCGTCGCTGGGCCTTTTTTTTTTTTTTTTTTTTTTCTCCTGTAGTTTCACTGACTTGGGCAAATATTTCTCTTCTGCCTGATACTTTGGGATCCTTCTTCACCTCTGTAAACCTGGAACCCCGCCCCCTCCAAGGAGGCTGCCATCTTGCTCAGGATCGAAGATGTCCAGCACTGGCTCAGACATGGCCTCCATCTTCTCCATGGGACCCACTTGCTTTGCCTGGAGAAACGCTGGGAGTGTAGCCCATCCCAGGGCAGCAACATCTCTTCTTCACTCCATTCTCTTAGCAACCACACAGCCTCTTTCACTCTGGATTTCTGGAGCTGAGTCAAGGGCTGGTCTGTGGAGCCCACCAC